AAAAAAAACAAAAAAACAAGTTGATTAAAAGCCATAATGCAAATTTTCAACTATATAAAAATTTATTTTATTTTATTTCTTTATTTCTTTGAGAGGTTTTTGCTACGGGGCATGTGCGCTCATCAGAAAGAGAGAGACAGAGACAGAAAGTGAGAAATCACCCCCCTGGGGGGATGGCCACGCCATAATCCCTTCTCCATTCTCCTCTCAGGATCTTGGGCACGCACGCACATGCACCCAGCGTAAGTTTAAGTCACTGGGGCTGGGACTTGAACTGCGGTTGACTACATGGGAGTCCAGTGACATAGCTATTATGCTATCTGCTGGTCCCCTCAAAATTTAAAACTTCTATGTGACAAAAGAAATCATAAACAAATAAGGACAAGTGAGGAGCTACTTGCAGTTTATTTAACAAAGAATTAATTGGGGCCACAGGTGGCGTGGTGGTTAAGGCACTGGACTCCCCCACATGGCCAACTATGGTTTGAGTCCCAGACCTGGCAGCTTGCTTTCTCACTTTCTCCCCACCCCTGGCCAAAATAAAAAAAAAAATAATAATAACAAATAAATGAAATTGAAAATTAAAAAAAAACCAAAGAATTAATTGCCAGAATATATATAAAGATGTCATTGAAACCTAGGCACATTCTAAAGCCATCACATTTATTACCATTTACTCATCCTTGCTTCCTGGGGACTTGTATTTTCTGCACTTGGCAAATGCAGAAACTAAAGCAAAGTGTGGTTAAATAATTTACCCAGGTCACACACCCAAACATGGCAGAACCAGCAAACGGCATAAATAAGCATTCATTCAAAGAGCCTGGAAAATGGCTGCTACTAAATGCATTGTGTGATCTCAGATTTGACCAAACTCAGAGCCAGAATATTTTTTTTCTATAAAGAATATTACTGGGAAAATTGGTGATTTTCTGTAATGTGATTATGTAAGAGAATGTCCTTGTTCTTAGGGGTACAGGAGAATCAAGCCTGAAATTCACAAATGCCTCAGAAGAGTTTTCTATAAGAGATATGTGTGTGTGTGTGTGTGTGTGTGTGTGTGTATGCACATATATATATATAATTATAATATAGTACTTATGTTATTAAACTACATGTAAATAATTACATTTAGTAAATACTGTCATGTTCATTACAGACATAATGATGTTTAGGTTGGACAGCGGATCACATACACTATGGTGGTCTCATGAGGTTATAACGCAGCTGAATAATTCCTACCGCCCGGTATCTTAATGTCATGTGGTAGCATTATGCACGTGTTCTTGGTGATGATGCAGTAAACAAACTACTGAGCGGACATTGTGGAAAAGTACAGCACACAAGAATATGCACAGAATGTAATACTTGATAATGATACTAAAGACAGAGTTGTTGGTTTATGTCATTATTATCCTACACTTAAAACCTTTTTTTTTTTTTTTTGCCAATAGGTCAAATTATGCATGCATAAAAGGGCACATGTACTTGCCTGAAAGAGACAGAGAGAGGGAAAGCAAGAAATCACCTCCCAGAGGGGATGGCTATGCTGAAATCTCTTCTCCTCTGTTCTCCTCTTGGGATTTTTGTGCACATGTGCACCTGGTGTGATTTTCAAGCCTCCGGGTCTGAGACTCAAGCCACGGTTGATCACATGGGAGTCCAGCTTCTTAACCACTAAACCACCTGCTGGTCCCATTACCCTATCCTTTCTATCACTATTTTAGAACGTACACTTTCTTATGTGAAAGACAAGGCTGACTGTGAATTGTATGTGTGTTCTGTTGGTGGCAGCCTCACACATCGTGTATGGACAGTTTCTTTCTTTCTTTTTTTCTTTTGAAGAGGTTTTTGCTATAGGGTGCATACGCTCGCCAGACAGACAGAGAGAGACAGAAAGCGAGAAATCACCCCCCGGGGGGGGATGGCCACACCGCAATCCCTTCTCCTCCGTTCTCCTCTTGAGATCTTGGGCACGCACGCACATGTGCCCGGAGTGAGTTTGAAGCCACCAGGTCCGGGACACGAACCGTGGTTGACTACATGGGAGTCCAGTGACATAGCCATTACGCTAACTGCTGGTCCCATATAGACAGTTTCTCAATTGCACCATTTTCTCTTGTGCATGAGCTCGCCTTCTGTTGCACTGTAAGGTGAGCACAGGTGAGTAAGCACTGTATCTTCTACAATGCCTCCTGTTTTCCTAAAGGAACCTGTGACCACGGGGCAATGTGTCTTTCTCACCACTTCACAGATCTCAGCCAGAACCCTGCTGGCCTGAAGACCTGACTTCTCAAGGACAGGGGCAGTTCTGACCACTTCCTTTATCCTGGGGACAGGAGCTTACTGACTGGGAGAGGAGGACCTGGAAGGGGAGGTGGCGCCCCAGGCTGGCTGGCAGCTCATTCTCCACCTACAGTGACCCTCTAGGAAAGACTGTGATTGAGGGAGAGATGGCTGCCATGGCTGAGATTTGAGAGCAGGAAAAGGGCCTTTGCTCCTAACTTTTAAAAAAAAATGGATCCAGTTGTAGAGACAGTTTAACATAGTGAGTAGGAGTGTGAGTTCTTGAAGTAGAGACTCCTGAGCTCGTATACCATCTTGGCCACCTATTCCACGACATTGGGCAAGTCACTGCATCCCTAAGACTAAGTTTCCCCACCTGTAATAGCAACAGAATCTGCCAATAGGAGAGTTAAGGTATGGCAGCTGGAGACAGACTGCCTTGTTCCAACCCGTCTTGCCATATGTTTGCTATGTGACCTTGGGAAGCTTATTTAACCTCTCTGTGCTTCAGTTTCCTCCCTTATAAAATGGGAATAACAACGGCACGTTCTTTAGAGTCGTTAGGACAAGTAAACAAGTTAACACATGAGGAACACATGGTAACAGTCTCCCTTGTTAATTCCTTATCTCCCCAACTTCTTAACTTAAGGCTCATTCATCTTTGACGTTCTCTAAACTTCTTCATTCTCTGGACTTAAGACACCGTCCATACACTGATGATTTGGAATGTCAATTTCCAGCTCAGTCCCATCCTCTGGACACCACCTCTGCACATCTAACAGCAGGAACAATGTCTCCACTAAGTCATCAAGCACCGCCTCTGACCCTACATCCAAAACCAACCTTGACCTGGGCTCCCCCATTTTTTTTTTTTTTTTTTACT